CAAAGGAAGGGAAGAACTTGGTTCTCTACCTGTACCTGAACAAGACAGATAGCTTCTGTCATCAGCTACTTGAATGACTGTCAAATGGGACAAAGAATTAGGTTTATTCTGCTTGACCCCAGGCAGCAAGGCAGAAGGAACAGGGAAAAAGTTACAGGAAAGCAGACTTCAGCTCAAAATAAGAAGGAACTTTCAAACAATCAGACCTAAAGTGGAAAAGAGTGCCTTCAGCATTAGCGATTTTCTTTTCACAGGGTTTTCAATCTAAGACTAAAATGCCCACTTCTAGGGAAAGAGAGAATTCATGCTACAGGTATAGATTAGAATAGATGTTCCTTGAGGGTCCTTACAGTTCTAAGATTCTATCATAAAGAAGGAGCCAAAAAAGAAATTAAAACAAAACAAAATTATAAAGAATAAATGGACTCAAAAAATCTAGTGTTTTGGGGGCCATTGAGCCATTGAATTCCTCCAAAAATGGTTAAAACAAAGTAAGGTTTGGTGCCTAACAAGGTAAGCCCCAGTTATTCTGGAACTGTTCCATGTACTTTATTCCTTTCATGAGGCAAGATAAATGAGATATCACCCACCAACCATGTGGTATTCTCTGAAGCTGAACCCAAGGTCTAGGGGATAGTCTTTTCTACATGTATAGGAATCTTGGCTCTTATGATTTCCATCAAACTACAGGCTCCCAACACTATGAAGTATTCCTACCATTAACCTCTTAAGGCCTCTTGAGCTCAGAAACTGCCTTGCTACAGAGGTAAAGCCCATTTAGTCTGTGGACCTGCTCTCATTTGTTTAAATTGGCAAGAAAGAAACCCAGTTTTGCCATCAGCCACAATGAATCAAGCTTCTTCTCTCAAAAGCCAGGGGTTCTTGCTCATTACATAAAATATAGACAGTAAGTCTTGGGAGCCACAAAGACAGCCAGCAGGAGGGGGTGGGGAATAGGGAGGCAGAGAGGTTGGGGCCATGGAGAGATAGACATTGCTGGAAAAGAACAGCTCACAGCAGGAGCAGGCAAGAGAAGGGTGGCAGCTTTTGCATGATTTTTGAACAGTCTGTGCTGACAAGCTTTTTTGTTGTGGTAACATTCTTCTAAAGAGAACATTTTCTTCCTCCCTTCACTGACATCAAGATGCAGCACAAAGTGGAAAAAAGAGGAGGAGGGGACAGTAAAAACATCTAAAAAAGTCGCAGCCCCACACAGACACTTGTAACCACTTCCTGCCCCAGCTCACTTCCAGTCCTGGTTCTGACACCAGCTGTGCAGGCTTGGACACCTTACTTTAACCTCACTCACTGAATCTCAATTTGTTCACCTGTCAAACAGGGGTAATTAAAGTTGTACTGCCTACTTCACAGGACAGGTGTGATGAAAGTGTTTTGTAAACACACCTAAAGCACAGTGCCTGGCAAACAGGAAGTACTATGTCAATGTTAGCTATCATTATTATTATTACAAATCATGAACTGCTATAGGAACATTATCATTATCAGGCACATCCTGTATACAGAGCACTGCTCTGTTGGCAGCTGGAGCTCAGAGGTCAGCTATAGGTTTGGGAGTCAGCTTCAGAGAGGTAGTGATTGAAGCCCTTGGAATGAACGATAGGTAATCAAGAGGAGGTATTTACAGAGAGAGAGAAAATGACCAAAGGATTGAACCTATATTAAAAGGGTCCAAAAGAATATGAATAGTCCACAAAAAAAAAAAGAAGAAGAAGAAGAAGAACTGAGAGGTAGGAAGAGAACCAGGAAAGTACAATGTCTCAGAAGCTGCGGGAAGCTAGAGTATACAGTAAGAGTTAATAAGCTACAGAGAAGTCACCAACAAGCTAATGCTACAGAGAAGTAACCAACAAGATAGCCCAGCCCCTAAGAAAAAGGCCATGTGGCATGCCTTGTGCCACCTGAAACAAGGTGCCACCTCTCTGTAATAAGCAATCCATTTGTTTGACTTAAATCTGACTTTGAAGGGCCACTGATGCTTGAAAATGCAAAGTAAACATCACAAATGCTTTCATTATATTGCTCCCCAACTCAGGAGTCCTTAATGACTTCCTAATACTTATTACAAGTTTTCAAAATTTTCAAAGCTTCAAGACTTCCTATGACATTGTCCTACTCAAGGACCAGGTAGATAGATTCCCCAAATCCATCACCTAAAAATTCCTCAATACATTCCTGTCTCTCCAACCAGAGCAGCCTGTACTGGTGTAGTTGGGTTTTTTGAAACCAAGTATAGGAATTTACATTTTTCTTACTCTATTTCATCTCATTAGATTTGGCCCATGGTTCTAACATGTCCAGGTCTTTTGGTAGCCTATTTAAGCTAGATCACGTAAACCGTGACATGATTATAAGTTTCAGGTGTGCCCTCTTTCCATCAGCTCCTTAATTAAGGGCAGGGACCACATCTTGTTTGGGCTCCTCTGACAACCAAAGGACATGTTTAGACAGCTGCTCATGATATTCTTGTTGCCTAAACAATTTAATCATTTGTTGGCCTTTCTCCTCCATGCCTAACCCAGGCAAAACCCTTGAAGTTTTTGTGGGTGCCTCAGGCCCCAGAACCCTGACTCCTAGCCAAAACCAGATTAGGCTCCCCACTTGACTCTGGCTAGCTGGCCTCCCACTATGCACAGATAGGACTTCCACAATGTAGCCCATCATGGCCTGTAGGAATAGGCCACTGGATAATCTGGGCTTTATGGCATATTTCCAGTCTTCTCATTTCATTAGAAAGGTAGCACCTCAGATTTGCAGAGTTGTGATGAAACAGGTACTCTACCACAGTTCTGGTATGATTATAGATTGGTGCAAACATTTTGAGAGGTAATATGGCAATGGGTAATGAGCTCAAAGTTGATCATACATCTTGTGACCTCAAAATTCCCTTAATAGGATTTTATCTCAAAAACATAATAAAAAGGAGGGCAGCAGAAGGGAGAAGGTCTATCTGTACTCTGAAATTAAAAAAAAATTATGAACAACATATACTCCCAACAGTTAGAAAATTGCCAAATAAATCATAGTATATTAATGTAATAGAATACTATGGTGTTATATTTAAAAAAGACATGAAGCATACCAGGAAATACAGAAAGATCTACATGAAGTGTCACAAAGTGAAATCAGTAGATCAGAACTATATTCACACCAACTACAACTAGGAGAGAAAGAGGAAGAGGAGGAAGAAAGGCAATAAAGGAAAATAAGAAAAAAGAAGAAGGGAAGAAGCCAGGGATACCAGAACATCACATACAATAGGAAGGAGACATAGAACAAAAGCATTTTCTTTGTTTGTTCATTCATTTAGTTCTACCTTGTTAAGCTCCATGCATTTTATGTAAGATTGTGTCCCTTATTTTGCATACTTGATTATTTGTTTTAGTTGATCATTATCAAGTTTGTAATAAAATAAACATTTTTCTGAAGACCTCCAGTGATGGCTGATGACTACTCCCTATAGATTGTTTTGACAAGTCTTTCCTTATGTTGAGGCAGAATCAGCCTTCCTGAGTCAGCAGAGAATAGGAGAGAAAGCATTGGATTTGGAGTCAGAAGATCATGAAATTTTAAGTTTCATCAGGTCAAGAATACCTAAATTTTATATCTCCCCCAGCTCTGCACACAAAAGATATTTAGGAAATATTTGTTGAATAAATACATTAATAAATGATTCAGTTTAAATTCCAGCTCTGCTATATCTATATAATCTTGGACAAGTCATTTCCTCATGGGAAAGTCTAGTACAGTGGAAAGTGTGCTAGATTTGCAGTCAGAGGACCTGGGTTCAAATTCCATCTGTCACTTAGGCAAGTTCTTTAACAGAGCTCTCTAGGCCTTGGTTTCCTTATCTGTAAAATGAAGGATTGGATTAAACAACATCTAAGGGTCCATTCTTGATCATTCTTAATCTTATTGGACTATGATCCATTTCCTTGCCTCCACCCTCCTAGCTTTTCCCTTTGGAGCCACACAGAACAAGTCTGTTTCTTGTGCCATTCAGATACTGGAATTTACCCATCATATCCCATTCTCCAAGTCTTCCTCTAGGTCCTTCAAGGGTTCTTCAAATTTTTACATGTTCAGTTCATGAGTCAGTCTCAGGTTACATTCTTCTCATTTTGACCAGGAAATGGAAATGCAACAACAGGAACCCAGTACTCTGTGCCCTATCCTCTGATTGCTCACCCATGCATGGGCTCAAATCCTCATGCAGATCAGAACTTTATGTTAATCTGGGAGTAAATATGGCAGAAACAGCATTAAAGAAATTATCTGCTGGAAGATTTTTTTTCTTCCTTTAAACTCTCAGAATTCTGCCTTATAGGCTCTGCTATTCATTTGGCATTTAACAAATTCATATTACATAATCCCTTAATTTTCCAAGTGTGAGATTTTTGTCTCTCTGATGAAATAATAAAGTCTTATCAAATCTTAGGGCTGGTTTAAGCCCCTGTCTGCTTAGTAGGTGATGACAGCCTTAGGCCCAAATGAGCTCAAACTGACTGGACCCAGCAGGATGACCAGTGTACAGCTAAAGTTGTTCATTGCCCTTCTCAGAAGGGTCAGAGGCTCTGGGAAAAATCGGTCAAGATTAAGTGCTTTGGAGTAGCCCAGCAATGAATGATCTAGTCAGCACAATGGACTAACCAAAACCGAGATTGCAATCCTGGGCTACAAAGATACCATGCTCAGGGGTAGCAACTATCAACACCTTATCAACTTCGAAGTCTCACCCAGCCCTGAGCTCCTAGTAAGAACTCAGGGCTGTATGCCATCATAACGCCCAGACAGGCTGGTGCCATCCCACTCTACTCAGGAGCAACCTGGCTGCTCCTCAACAGGAGACATTCTTCACCCTCTCTGTCTTCAGGGCTAGGCCTCACACACAAGGCAAAAGCAAAGAAGGAAAGCTGGAAGGAAGAAGAACAAGAGCAAGAAGACATGATGCAGGAAGAGAGGGGAGGGTGGGGATTTGTCACCTCATCACTCTCCTCCACATCCACGTTCCCGTTGGCATCATCATCCATCTGCTTGTGGATGTTTCGAACGGCCTCAAAGCTGAGCTGCTCATCCTCATTGTGGCATAAGGGCTTGTCAATCCTGCAGAATTCTGTCAGAGGGAAAGAAAGAGGCCACTGTCATTCCCACATGAGCCAAAGGCAGGATGCAGACCTCTCTAGTCTACTACAATAGCAGAGCACTCCTTCCTCACAACTCCCACAGCATTTTCGGTCACTGACATAGATTTTGAAAGGATAAATCCAACCTGTACCTGAATGAGAAACCCCCTCACAAGATCCCTGACAAGCAGTTATACATTTTCTACTTGAATTTTTTCAGTGATTACCAGTTCTTCAGAACAGCCTATTCTGTTTTACCCATAAAGCACTTGACCCCAGCCAACACAGTGGACAGAGTGCAGGGCCTGGAGTCAGGAGGACTCATCTTCCTCAGTTCAAATCAGGCCTCAGAAACATACCAGCTGGGTAACTATGGGCAAGTCACTTAATCTCCTTTGCCTCTGTTTCCTTATGTGTAAAATAAGCTGGAGAAGGAAATAGCAAACTATTCTAGTATCTTTGCCAAGAAAACCTCCAAAGACGTCACAACAAGTTGGACATAAATGAAAAATACTAAACAACAACAGTCTTACCTCATTAGCTGGCCTATAAGCCACTCAAAAACTGAGACTATACCTTTTTTTTTTCTTTAATCTTTCTCATAGCATTGCAGAGCCCAAGACTGGGCATACTGCTAGAGCTTAATCCCTACTCTTTATTCTGAACTGGTCCAGTCTCAGGTTTCTCTCAAGTTGTGAAAATGAAAAATATTGGAGGCAAAGGACAGGAAAGTCCTCTTCAGCAGAAGTGATGTGAAGTGAAATGATGACGTGAAGAAGGGAAACCCTCTTCAAATCTTTCAGAGTACTTTGTACCTCTCTTATTATGCTTCTAAAATTCTAATTTACCTTATAGTTATGTGTCTGAGTCTTACCTCCAAACTAAATTATAAATTTCTTAAGAACAGGGACTATGTCACTGAGGGCCCTTCTAACTCAAATTTTGTGAAATAAATCTTTGTTGAATTTTTGGTAATATCTGCAAATTCATTTAAACAGGAGGAGAAAATTCCTTCAAACTCTATATCTGTCTCAGAAAGTTTGCCCATTATTACATAGCTTGATTATAATTGGAAGTAGCCAAGTTCAAGTTCATTGATCTCCATTGCACATGTAGCACTAATTTTCAAAAATTTTTTACACATTATCTCATTATTACAACAACTTTTTAAGCATCTACTCATTTGTATTTTGTTACCTCTGTTTTATAGAGGGGGAAACTTGATGCCCATAGAGCAAAAGAGATCTGTCCAAGGCTACTCAATATGCATTTGAGTATATTTGAGACTAGCCTGTAGATGACCTGATTCCTAGATTCTTGTATTTTCTGCTATACCAGGCTTTCCCTACAGACTCCCATCCTGGCTATTGGAATGAGATATTTATGAGCTTCAGTGTCTGGCATTGGGCCTTATATGTTTTGTACACTGATAAATGTTTATTTATTGAAGGAAATTAGCATTAGGTGAGGCCTTAATGGTGGATTGACTGGAAATAGTCTCAGCAATGGTGAGAAGAGGATACAAGGACATGAAGCCCTAGACTGATATTCAGAAGACCTATATCAAGGATGTGCTTGTACAAGATTATAACTGCTCAGGGAGCCAATTGTTAAATTCTCAGTGTGAGCATTTACCCCTGAAAATTAGCAAACTACAAACCTGAGCTCGATTTATTGCTTTGTTGATTACCTAAACTTAAGAAGAGATTGAGAAAATGTTAACAATACAGATTAAATTTACAAGTGTATTATAGGCACATTTCCCCCCCCCAAAGATCTGGTTGTTAAATATTTACCATGCCTGTATTCCAGGTCTAGCTCTGCTAGTAGCTTCACTATGTGACCCTGAGCAAATCTTTTTCCTTTATAAAAAAAAAAAAAAGGAAAGGGAGGGAGTCATTTCAAACTCTGAATTTAGGGTAACTCCTTAAGTCTGGTATCAAGTGGCAAGTTTCCATTTGGCCTATTTGTATAAGCACATGTCTTAGTAAGAATTATCAGGGAAGCAAGACCTTCCTTCTGTTCCCTCTGGTCCAAGGAAGTCAGAAGAATGGGTTTTTGTGGTGGGAAAGCTAAATGCAGACAAGATTATCTACAGGAAAAATGCTAGTCACTAGAGGTGAAAAATGAGACACATATTTTCAAATATATATGTTATGCTAGTCTCTGAGTCCTCTGTGGAAGAGCTGTTATTTGGAGGAGAGGGGAATGAACAATCAGGAAGAAAAAAGCATCAATGAAACATTAAAAATATGTAGAAGAAAAAAAATTTTTTAAATGTGTAGAAGAAAGTTCAGCAGGTGATACAAATGAGTGGCACAGTTTTTTACTATTGTACTACATATACATTTTAAAAATCAAACTGTAAGTAATAGAAGTTGATAATTTCATATACGATCTTCATTTTCTGTCCTTTGCATACTGAAATATTCAGGTTTCTTAAGTTTGTAATAAGAAAAATAAAGAAAATAGCCAGTTTCCTGATTAACACATCAAACAAGACCATTCTGCTCCAAAACATGAGTTCCAGCTCTTATGTCCAGCCTTCTAGTTACCTCAGTATTTGCCTCCTTGTCCTCTGACCCCACTGGCACCACTACATCACCTGTAACAAACTCAAACTCAGGACAGTCTTCCTGGTATTCCTGGAATTCAATTCAACAGGCATTTGCCTAAGGTGCCTGTGTGCAAGGCTTTACACTCGGTGATTGCGAAACAAAGATGAAAAGCGATGCAGCACCCATGCAAGTTTCATCCAAAGCCAAATGTGATAGGGGCAAAATGGGGAGACCAGCAAAGTGCTGTAAGAACTGTAAGGAAAGGGTAATCATTTTCAATGAGAGGTGGAGGGAAGCAGGGATGAGATAAAAGAAAGCTTCATAAAGAAAGTGGCTCCTGAACTAAGCTTTAAAGAAGTAAAAGGATTTCAACAGATGGAAATGAGGAAGGAATGCCTTTTAAGCAAAGAAAATGACCTGCTTGCTTGGATGGAGGCAGGAGATGGCAGAATGAGATTGGAAAACAGTTAATAGTCCAGTTACACTGGAATGCAGTGCATGAACAACAGTAGAAAATTAGGCTGGAATGAATCACAGAATTTCAAAGTTGGAAAGGCCTTCAGGGGTATCTAGTCCAACTTGTGCCTGAGCAGGAATCAGTCCCAACAAAGGATCATCTAACCCCCATTTGAAAGGTATGTTGGACCCTGACTGCTGCCAGGTTATGACGTTTATCTTTGAACAGGGGAGGCATACGGTCAGACTTATGCAAGTTAGGCCCTGAGAGGATTTCTTCTTCCTCCAGGAAGCTATTCTTGACTCATCTGGTCTACAATGATTTGCCCTCTAGAGACCTCAGGTTGCTTTTACAGCCAGCCCCATTCAATTTAACAATATACTACTGGAAAGCAATTTCATGTGTGCCTTTTAGTTCCTATATTGGCCACTGACCTAAGTGCAAGAGCACTGTCATTTCCACTAGCTCTAGGTATGCAATTAATACATGCTATAGCTTAGGGACTGAAGGCCCAGTTGCTAAAATGACCCCCAGGCAACATTAGCCTCATCCATTTCTTGATACTGCTGACTTACAGGACTCAATCTGAAAGCCAAATGAACAAGTTCACTGAAGAAAAAGCTGTCAAATGGGGAATTCATTCATTCATTCAAAAAGCATTTATTAAGTGCCTATTGTATCAACTATTATAGATACAAAACACAAAATGAAAACAGTTCTACCTCAAGACCTTTATGTTTTACTAAGATAACATATGTAAGGCCCTTTGCAAACTTTAAAGTTCTATATAGATGCTAGCTATTATATAAATAAAAAAGTAAATACTAAGTTTTCATAAAGTAAAATCAAAGTCATTTCATGACAAGTAGAGCACTAACAATTACTGGGAACAGGAAAGGCTTTGTTTAGGAAGTGGCATCTGAGCTCTCAGGCAGATCGGGAGAAAGTGAGGGAATCTATGACGTGAGGCACAGCTTGTACAAAGACACAAAGACAGGAGATTAAATGCCAAGTTTGGGAAAGAGCAAAAAATCCAGTCTGACCAAAAAATCAATTGGATGAAGGAGTAATTAATGTGAATTCAGTCTAGAAATAAGTTGGAACCAGCCCATGAAGGGGTTTAAATGCCAAGCTAGGGGAGATTTTATTTTACCCTAAATGCAGGAGGGAGCAGGTGAAGATAAAAAAGGTATGCAACAGAACATATTGGTGTAATCCATCTTCTGCATCACGATATCCTAGCTGATGAGAAAGGTAAAAATCAATTTGAGGGGACCTAACTAGCTCCCCTTAGAAGCACAGTGGTAGAAAAGAAATCACACTTCAGAAGTCTTGGTCTGAGTCCCAGAAAGTCTTAGCTTCCTGTATAAAAAGGGAGATGGCAAAGGGAATTTATACTGACCTCCCCAGCTTAGGTCAACCAAGATAATGTGTGTGAAAGTGGTCTGCAACTTTTAAAGTGCTACAGTTTTAAAGTTATGGTGATTATTAAGCTTCCAACTGATGTTCTCTAATGTCTCTTCATCAATGTGTGGAAGTGACCAGGTTCTAAAGACTCTGCAAGGAGAATTCAAGCTCCTAGCAAAGAAGAGCCCAGAGAAAACCTACATGTCTGTGGTGTGAAAAAGATCTAGTTATGGAAGGGCTCCTCATTGGAACACGGGCCACCAGTGTATGAAAATTAGGCCCTGATCTTTTGAAATAAGTATCAATAATAAGACAGAGAGAGCTGAGGACATCCTCTCAGCCAGGACTTCCCCAAGGCCCAACTATTGTCTTGTCTTTGAAGCTCTCGATGGCCATTGCCACCCCTTTATTGCCTTATTACAGTCCTTTCTTTCCCAGAGAATCATAGAATTAGAAGAGACATGAAAGAGCTTCTGGGTCCAACCTACACCCAAATAAGAATCCTCTCTACAGGATCCATGACAAGTGATTATGTAGCTTTTTCCTGAAATAAAAACCTCCATGGAAG